CCCCAAAACCCCAAAACCCCAAAACCCCAAAACCCCAAAACCCCAAGATACTTGCTCAGTGTTGAAATTTATCAGCTATTTGATATTCTTCAGCATACCTTCCATTTCTTCAAAGAAGAGTTTGTTGAAGTGGATCAATATTTCAGTCTCATTCGTCCATTCACCTGTGTTAGGATCGATAAAGTCAGAATAGTTCTCACCAAGGACTGTGATTAGGATTGATTCTTCATAGATAGCTCTATCTTCATCTACCTCTTCCTTTTTGTCCTCAAGAGACTCTTGTGCTTCTCCTGTGTAAAAGGTGTTCTGAAAAGCATCAAAAATATTAAATAATTCATCTAGGTTTCTAATTAGATTTGCAGATGCTTGAGAGATCATGAAATATGGTTCATTCCCAGTAAATTGAGCATTAGAAGACTCATGAAGCTTCTCTTTGTCTGCAGTATCCTTTCCAAGCTTAGGCTCTTCGATTTTTGATTCCTCCTTATTGGACTCATTGTCACTTTCATTTCCTTCAATATTTTGTACATTGGGCAATGCCAAACTTGGCTTGCTTGCAGTGAGGTTAATTTTGGATTTTAAGTTAGCGATATTGACAAAAGTTCTTAGTATTATCGTTTCTTCAGTTGCCATTAATTTTAGCTTTGGGATTCCTACTGCCGCTAATGTTGAGATCAATACAGGCCTGTTCAAGGCTTTATCTTTTGTAGCCTCAACATTCCTGTCATGAAGAATTCCTCTGATCTCTCTTAGAACGATGTCTCCTTGGAATGGAAGGCATCAAAGGAAGATTATATCTCACATTTCAGCTATCTTTTCGTTGTTAAATTCAGCTTCGATTTTAAACTCTTCCTTGAACTCATTTAAAAGGTCAGGTTGTCTAGTGCTCACGAATATTTTGATTCCTCTAAAATGAGGAATTGCTTCTAGAAGTTTGGTCAATATCATGGTTCCGACTTGGCCTCACCCAATGATGCCAATTTTGAGATCTACAAGATCGTAATCAACGTCTTCATCATATTGAAGTTCAGAATTTTTAGGATCTGCTTCTTTTGCTCTATTCCGTGCATATGAAAGCTTGTATTTAAGCAGGTCTCTGTAAACCTTTACAAAGTATAATCACTGAAGCATGATAATATTCCTAGCAACTTCACTTGTGACAAAGAGTTGTTGCATATCATCATCTGGAATGAAATGATCCAACCAATTCTTCCCAAACGCAGGTAGCTGCGACATTGAGAAGAAGTGAGGGTTCAGAACTTTACTAGTCAGAGGATGATCTTGCCCCTCTGTAGACATGTTCTTACTAAGCCCAAGAAGCTCATTCCTACGTTCAGAAGCAACCATTTCTGCACTTGAGTTTTTATTTAAGTCTGCCATTTAAATTTCAAATGAATATAAAAATATTGGGGTTTTGGGGTTTTGGGGTTTTGGGGTTTTGGGG